ATGTAAATAAATGAGGCCCTTTGTTTTCTATGTTTGTATTATGATATTAAGCCCAATTAGCTTTTGACGTGTAATACTGCGAGGTCGATTACAGGTCGGACAGCTTATGTCAGTGTCAAAGGAGCTTACCGCGCGTATTGATTGCGACGAGCTTCGACCGCCAATCGATGTGGGTTGGCACACATGGCTCTCCTGGGACACATTAACGACGAGTACAAGTCATAGGCGCAAGCGACACGTAATATATTTTTATCTAATTTAATTTATGTACAAAACCGGTCTTTTTCCTTTGTGTTTCAAATTTCTCGCAGCTCTGGCTTGCAAGCAAATTCCTGAACACGCTAAGTTCAACTTAGTAAGTTCAAGTATTATTTTTCGCGTAGATGCGCTAACTGACGTCGCCCAGTACTCATTTTGTAAAATATAGAAATTCTGATTATTGTACTAAAACTTAGGATTTTCTTTTTATTGTCTTTGTAGGCAGACGAGCGTACGGCCCATCTGATGGTAAGTGGATACCGTCGCCCATGGACTTCAGAAATGCCAGGAGCCAATGCCATGCTTAATACTCTCTACAAGCCTCGTTTGAAGAAGGACATGTCATAGCGCTCGGGAAACACCGTGGAGGGGAGCTCATTCCATAGCCGGATGGTACGTGGCAAAAAAGACTTCTGGAAACGCACTGTGGATGACCGCAGTGGCTCCAGGTAGTATGGATGAACTCTACTCTGGTGGCGGGCGGTGCGATAGTAAAAACGAGACGTTGGTATCATTTCCAACTCTTCATTCATTTCAAAACTTCCAACTCTCCATGGAACATGCGGTACAAAATACAGAGGGAACCGAAGTCCCTCCGCAGACCCAAAGGTTCCAATGGGATTATCGACAATCCGAACGGCTCTCTTCTGTATGGAGTCAAATGGAAGAAGCTGGTATTTGAGAGCCCCGGTCCAGAGATGGGAGCAGTACTCCACGCGAGGCCGGACTTGTGCTTTATAGAGCAGTACTCCACGTGAGGCCGGACTTGTGCTTTATAGAGCAAAAGTCTTTGTCCAAGCGTGAAGTACCGCTTCGCTCTGTTGAGGACTCCCAACATTTTGGACGCCAACTTGGCTTTGCCTTCCAAATGACTCCGAAATGGGATATCGCTCGAAATGTCGACCCCAAGTATCCCGATAGGATCCCGTAGTATAATATTATATATTTTTGAAAAGATAAATGAAATTTAAGAAATGAATTTACTGTTGATTTGTGACTTCTTTCTTCACTTGTCGCTATTCTACTGTCGAATTGCCTCTTGTTTACCCGGTACAGCACGCGCCCTGCAGAGAGAGCACTCCGTCGCGTCGCGGTCGCCAGCCCCAGCACTTGCGACAACAGCTTATGACTCGGAGCAGCTCCCGGGTCTCAGCTCGTCGCTGACTCGCGCCATGATGGATAGTTCCCGAAATATAATGCCGAGTGCAATTTATATCGACGAGCAGGAATTGGTTTCGCTTTAATCGTTTTTTTATCTCATTTTAATTTACACGTGTCCATACATACGAGTATGTATTATTTTTAATATAAATAGTAAATAGGAATTGTTTAAAGACAACTATTATGTTCATTAGTAAACTTTTCACGGGACATTTCTGGGCGTTGAGATCGAGATCGTTCTATCAGAAACAGTGTATGTGTGTGTGTGTGTGTGTGTGTGTGTGTGTGTGTGTGATGTGTGATGTGTGATGTGTGATGTGTGATGTGTGATGTGTGATGTGTGATGTGTGTTGTGTGTTGTGTGTGTGTGTGTGTGTGTGTGTGTGTGTGTGTGTGTGTGTGTGTGCGCGTGTGACCTATAACCTGTTAGGGCTATACTATGAACACAATATATTTAGGTTTGTGTGAATTATTTGAACAAATTATATTTAGTTTCATTCAGTAAAATCATTATAATATTAACTCAACAAAGGACAATGACCACATATGTATGGAATTCCGTCTTAAGTTGTTGCACAATAAATCTTTATTTATTAAAGACTACGCTTTATATATTATCAAATAAAAGTGTTAGCTTCCCCATAATTAACCGGGTGTTCAAGTAATTAGACCAAAACGGACATAACCTATAAATATAGTTAAACCCACAAACAAAACAAATTAATCATAGTTTTCACACACCGACTTCTCCTCATTATCAGAGGCTCAAGCATCAACATGATTACAGAATTACACTCAAGAGAATTACACTCACATAAGACTCAAGAGTTCATAAACAAATCATATAAACGTCCAGGCGTAATAAAACACTTTTTACACACAAAAACGTATGGCCGCTCGCTGGGTCGCAGCCGCCGGCTCGTCTACCTCTATCGACAATATCATATAGCTTGACAGTTGCGTCGCCGTGAAACGGAACACAGAAAAAATATTATTTTAACTTAATGATAAAATCATAAATCAATACGTTGTAAAATATAATATAAGAATACAATATACCTAGTTATTCAACTGCACAAGATTTTGATTTTGATATCATTTTTGTGATGATTGAGTCTAAAAACTCATGCATGAGTAATCTGTCTAAATAGAGAGAACGAAACGTCATGTCATGACTTTAATACGGAAATGATGCGAACAATTCGCGATGCGAAATCTTAAAATTGTAATTCCGGTCCTGTACAAAACATTTCTTTGTTTTTACCATCGCACCGCCCGCCACCGGAGTAGAGTTCATCCATACTACCTGGAGCCACAACGTTCATCCACAGTGCGTTTCCAGAGATCTTTTTTGCCACGTACCATCCGTCATAGAATGAGCTCCCCTCCACGGTGTTTCCCGAGCGCTATGACCTGTCCTTCTTCAAACGAGGCTTGTGGAGAGTATTAAACGGTAGGCAGCGGCTTGACTCTGCTCCTGGCATTGCTGACGTCCATGAGCGACGGTAACCACTCACCATCAGGTGGGCCGTATGCTCGTCTACCTATACGGCAATAAAAAAAAATTCTGTAGTGAAATTGATTGTAAAAAATGAGAAAATCATTTCGTTGTTATTATGATTCTGCAACATGCAACTTTGCTAGACGACTTTTGGTCATTCTCCTTTATAAATAAGTTAACATGTTGTTTGGACATACCGCGTAGAGAACTATGGCTACTCGTTATCAAGCCTTACACACACTTACACGCACACACTCTCATATTATGACGCAGAAACATCGATGTTAGCTTACCAGTGGTTAGTTACACCTAGATAATCTTATTTATTATCAGTAGAAATATAGATTTACGTACATACAATATACGACCGACTTGTCTACTTCAACTTTAGAGACAAATCAGTCATTCAGTCCGCTTCTATTTGAACTTAAAGTTTATTTATTTACTAGTTTTCAATCAATTTTAAAAATGATAGAACGGAATGCAATGAAACAATATATTTAAGAAGAAGAAAAGAAGAAGAAAATCTTTAATCGCCAGAAATATAGTTTACAAGATATTGTGGATATAGGACATAGTTTCATATATTTTGCCTGTTTAGGCATGCGAAAATTTAACTTATTTTTATATTAATTCTAACACAAAATTTACTAAATCTATCTATTTTTACATTCTATCACTTCTTATTCTAATATTTTATTATGTACAACATTTATCATTTAAAAATTCTTGCACACTATAATAAGCCTTATCTATTAGCCATAAATATAATTATCTTTTAAATTGAGTTAGTGGAAGATCTGTTATGCTGTTTGGTATCTTATTAAATATTCTTATAGTCATAGGATAACAGTTTGTATGGTAGTAGCGAGTATTTATATTTGGTAACATTAGTTTAGTAGGGTATCTTGTATTAAATTGACAGTACTCACCATACGATTTATATAATTGTGGGTGCTTTTTAACAAACAAACAACATTCTTGTATATAATATATTATTATGGATGGTGCAGTCAAAATATTATGTTTTTGGAAGAATGGTTTACAAGAAGTCAGAGGATGAATATTGCACATAGCACGAACACATTGCTTTTGTGCAATGAACACTCTATTTATGTGACTAGAATTTCCCCAGAGGGGTATACAGTATCTGATATTTGAGGCGACATATCCATAATAGGCCTGTAATGCAGTTTTTAGATTACATATTTTTGTAAGTCGCCAAAGTGCATATGAGAATCGATTAATTTTACTACAAATAATATCTATGTGAAGATTCCAGCTACATTGATTATCCACATTTAATCCTAAAAATGTTATGCTATTACATTCATTTAGTGTGTTATTATTATAAGTTATATTTAAGTTATTAATAAACTTGTGTCTATTATAGAGTTGCATATATCTTGTTTTGTCTAAATTAGCTTTTAAGTTATTCTTATTCATCCAATCTATGACTTTACTAACAGTAGCATTTATTTCATCATTTAAATCTAGTGTGGCATCTTTGGTGATTACAACGGCTATATCATCAGCAAATAAGCTGCGTGGGTAATGTATGTGTTCTGGGAGATCATTTATATAAATGATAAAGAGTAGCGGTCCTAAAATGCTCCCTTGTGGGACACCTACTTTATTATACGCTAATGAAGATTTAAAAGCCACTTCTTCATTGTTATTATCAATATCCCTAATTTCAACATATTGTTGTCTGTCGCTTAGATAACTACTAAGCCATTTTTCAGCTATCCCTCTAATGCCATAATTATTACACTTCCGTAGAAGAATATTATGGTCAACAAAGTCAAAGGCTTTGGTCATGCCAAAGAAAATAAGATAATAAATAATAAATAAATATATAAATAAAATAATAAAGAAATTAACTAATTAATGTCCAATAAAAATAATCGTGACTCAGATCTAAATACAATTAATAAAATTTAAAGAACACGATAAGAAACCAATCACCAGAATTATTATCATAAATTATTATGAATATGTAATTACAATACAAGCACGACCTTCGCCGTCCCCACGTTTGTCACGACACCGGACCCCTCACTGTTACGACTCACGACATCACTCAGTGAGCGGCGGCCGACCGTGCAGGATGTCGACCAGAGTAGCCGTAGTGACTGGCGCGAACAAAGGCATCGGTTTTGCCATAGTCAAGGCTCTATGTCAGAAATTTGATGGCGTAGTGTATTTGACTTCTCGTGATGAGACTCGGGGCCAGCAATCTCTCAGTGAGCTGAAGCAGCTCGGCCTGAGCCCTGAGTTCCACCAACTGGATGTCGCTGATAAGGACAGCGTCAAACGATTCGCGGACCACATCGAAAAGAAGCACGGGGGCATCGACATTCTCATCAACAACGCCGGCGTTGCTAACGGAATTCAAATTGGGAGACCTTACGAAGAGAACAAAGCCATTGTTGACATCAACTACTTCAGCATTTTGACCATCAAGGAGTATCTGTTCCCGTTGCTGCGGGACAAGGCACGTGTGTTAAACATCTCCAGTGACTGTGGTCATTTATCCAATGTCAAAAATAAGTACTGGCTGGAGAGGTTATCCAAAAAAGATCTGACGGTCGAAATTATTAACGAATTCGTTAACTGGTATCTAGAGTCCGAGAAGAACGGAAGCTTTAACCCTGAAGATATGGTTGAAGGAGGAATCTTAGCCGCATATAGAGTAGCCAAGGTGGCTCTCAGTGCTATCACCATGGTCCATCAGAAAGAGCTAGAAGCTAGGAACATTGTGGTGAACTCTATGCATCCAGGGCTGGTGAGGACTGACATGACGACCGGGAGAGGCTTTTATAGTGCAGACGACGCTGCCAAAACTCCTGTGTATTTGGTACTGGAAGCTCCAGACACGCTGAAGGGCGCATATGTATGGTACGACGGTCAGGTCATAGACTGGTATGATTATAATGGAGACTATGCCTTCAAGTCCTCAACATTGTTAGATTAACAAGTACAATCATCGTATGAATATTAAAAATATAAAATAACTATGGAATTTTCGAATTACTTATAAAACCTTGGTTTGGACCTACACAATCTTTGGACATACACAATCTGTACAAACAAATATATGAGTGGCGGGCGATATACAGACTGAACAAAAATTGTATAGTAACGTGATGGACGCCGTTATCAGTGCCATTATCACAGCCAGGGGACTTATATTATCCACCTTCACATTCCGCACACAGTGAGCACATCTAAAAGCATTCCACGTTCATTACATTTGACTTTAAGAAAATAAATGCGTTGTTTCGATCCCACCGGCTTACACACGTATTAGTCAAATAAACAGAGCATTATACTATCAGACATTTTTCTATATCATAAAATGTTCATGCACATTGAATGGATTCAAATACCTAAAAACATTGTGTTATTGCGACTGTAGTCGTCCGTGACATCAGATAATGCGATCGGTTTCACTGAGCGTCTTACATTGCTTCTCGACTATGAATTATTCATGTTGTGTGCGCGTCTACGCCGTTGCCGCGTTGGTGCGATAAGTAGACGTGCGTTTACTTTGTGACGTGTTTCGACTGCTTTCTTGGTAGGAGGGAGGCCGCGATTAAATTATCATTAATGGCCGAGATATCAGTAATATGTTCCAAAGAGTGCTCGCACTGGGCTCTCCCGGTGTTCTGTACAGTGTTCGCCTCAACCCTCCTCCGTCACACTATCCAGGCGGGAGGAGTCGCAGACCTCCAGTTTCGGATCAATGCCCAGACAGATTGTTGTCGTTTAAGACTGGATGTTAGTATTCATAACAATTAAACTAGTTATTTATTGAGAGCTTAAATCTCCAATTTAGTATGAAGGTATTTATTAATTGTACGTCTTCTCCTTATTATTTATACAAGTACACTGAGCATATTGCAAAGGATGTCATTGTATTTGATTCTAAATGACATCAACGTATCGGCGTCGCTAGCTTCGAGCACGGTCACTTGTAAACGTTAAGCTCACCCTAATTGTCCTGGATATTTTTTAAACGTAATAACTGATTGCAAACTGTAGTGTTAACATGATCTGATACATCGACATTTGCTCCAAAGAGGCGGCGTACGCAACGCTCTTCCCCCCACGCCTTCCTTCCTTCAGTCGCAGGGGAAACTTTTAATTCAAGTGTAAACAGTACAAAAGTTGGTCCGCTTTAATTCGATACGTGAATTATTCATATGTACGAGTTCCATTACTCCATTAGTAGCGCGGTTATTATTCTCTCGGTTATCATCGTTTTTCCGCGGCAATCTGAAATCAACTTTATTGTACGGTCTGAAATATTTTTTTGGTTCGTCTTGGAATTAGGCGAAATATGTGAATGTGTTGAATCGCTCAGAAAGTTTTGAAGATTGTTTGGATATTGTCGTTTTAATGGCAGTTTGAGTTGTATTGTATTTCGCAACAACTAGTCATCGGAGTTATGAGTTAAATGATTCATTTTCTTAATTATTTTATGAGTTAATTACTCTTAGCGTTCGCGGTCCCGTGATTTAGAACAATCGGGACTCGATCTAAAGTTGGAATCTGTCCCATCGAGCTTTCTTCGAGTTCATTCATATGAAAGCTCATTTATGTCATTGTACATGTTTGATATTTAACTTTAATATAGGGTGACAAAAACTCTGTTTCCGATCCATAGTTATTGAAATTTCTAATGTATTTCAACTTCAATCTTATATTCGAGGGTGCTAAGTAATGCCAGCCAACGCCTAGATAATGCCTGCAGACAGCTGTGTCTATGGACATAAAGGATTTACTCTTGCTTTGGCCATGCGCTGTTCTAGCCGTCCACGCGGACAAACACTGGGACGACATAATTTTCATCTTGAAGCTCGATAACTCTCCAGCACGTTGACATGTCCATGCCCAATCCTAATCATTTGGAACCTCTGGGCCTGTGAAGGGACTGGAAGCGGAATAGTTCCAAACTATAATGCTTAGTTTACTAGCATCTAGTATCCGATACCTCCTTGCATCAGAGCACGACAGCCACTGCAAAAGGAGGGGGATGAAGAGAAGTCGTTAGGTCTGTTATAGCACTAGCTGCCACATATAAAAAAATACAGCTATAGCCGCAATCACGTGATATTTTAAAAACACACGGATAGTAAGTACTTCACGTCGAGGACGACCGCTCTGTCGAGTGCATCAAAGTGGGGGAACAGAAATAAGTAATCTGTTCTGTTAAATATCATGTAGTGTAACATCCTGTTATCTGCGAACATCAAACTCCAACATTAACATCAACATCAGGGACTGAACATGAAACTTGTACCGTATACAAGGTGACCTACAATAGGTAGGTATATCAAGCCGAAACTTGGCTATAGTATCAGCAATGTAGATCATGTTAAAAACGTTTAAGAGATTCTAAGTCGTAATTAGCAGTTTCATATAAAAACGACAAAAATTATAATCGTTTCGATGGCAGCCCTGGAATTACACAATAAAACTACCATTAGGCCGTTCCTTCAATTAAACATGTCAGAATACAATCTTGCAACCTCATTATTCTGTTCGTCCACAAGGCTTAAAAACTTCTGCAAATTGCAACCGCATGGGGGCATATGTCACTAAATTTCACCTTTATTGCAAAGACGAAAGAAACTGGTTTTTTTTTAAAATTGCTTAGAGGGGTAGACGAGCTGACTGACGGCCCACATGATATTAACTGGAAATCGGTGGCCTCAAAAAATAAAAACATAAATGCCGCCACCTGAGGCATGAGTTGTAAAGGTTTTACAGTACAACGGCCGCCCCACCCTTCAAGCTCGAAACGCATTACTACTACCACCAGGTAGTAAATGTCTTACTGGTCATATGAGCTGAGTGCGCACACCGAATACGTTTTTCTCACCAAACAGGCACTGTCCTTGTGATTCCGCTTTCGTTAAACCCTCTTTGGCACGTGATGAACGATCTGTATCGGCTAAGTCAAGGTTACATAATGTGTAAATCTTAATAACTTTTATCTCATAAAAAATGTATCCGTAAACCAACTCTAATGCACGAAATAGTAAAAATCTAATGAATGTAAATTAATGTAAAAATCCCAACAATTCGAGTTGCTTTCGGAAGTAGTGTGGCCGACCTCATCGAGAGAGTTCTTCGACCTCAAAAAGGTGCACGTGATGTCAACTGAGTGAAGCACATACACACACTTGGCCTGTGCGTTATATTTTTAATTTTGTATTTTTTTACAAAGTATGAGTTAAAAAATGAGATTGGAATCATAAACAAATCATCTATTCTCGATATGTTTTAACTGAATGTACAATTTGATTGTCAACTGTTTTAGTTTGCCACAGTTCGCTTAAAACTAGAAGAAAAAATAATCCTTTTCAAATAAAACCCCTCGGTACACTATTCTATACTATTCTAGCAGCCCACAAACGTCCACTGTATAGTATATAATGTATGCCTATGTAATACATTATATATTCCGTATAATATTATATATTGTGTATTATACATTATAGTACATACATATACTCGGTACACTAAAAGCCAGCTAATTACATAAGCACACAAGGTCGTGTGACGACATGGTGTAAAGAGAATGCCTTGTCTATACTTAGGCTATCAGTGGGGGTAGGCCGTGGGGGAGGGTAGGGGAGGGAGGGTGGTGTTGCAACATGGCATTGTTGCTTCACATTTGCATAGATTGTGATGACGTCATAATGTCGTTATACGGCGAGATGTGTTTGGCTTTCAACGATACCGTAATCTGTTCTGTCACACATGACTGCCGCACGACAGAGTAACGTCATTAAACTGGAGACTAGAGCACCGAACCAGCTCTTTTGTTTATTAACCTAACTTAGAACTAGAACAGTTTGTTAAAAATATTAGTGGGACTACTATAACTGCAGCCTGTACTTCCGACGACAACGATGACAATACCAAATGATGGTAAATCAATCTGGTGCGAGAATGCAATGACAATGTACTTTATAATAGTTACAAGTGAGGTGCATGATATTTAACTTGGGTTCACGAAACTTAGTCTTTAAAAATTATATTCACTTGAATAGATGAAATGAAACGATGGCTGGCTATTTGTGTACCTAATCCATTTACGGATATTCGGTTGAGGGGACAGGCTCCGACGCACTCCGGTCCTCTACCATACGGGTGACGACAGTCCGCAAGGAGAGATCCTTCCTCAGCACTGCGATGAGGTTTCACCGCAGGTGCTCCTAACGCGGGCACGCATCGAGGGTGTGCTGAGCGTCATCGTCCGGGTGCTCGCACTGATGCCAGTCTGAATATGGCTCCCTTCCGCAGACTCTCTACAGATACCTCTCGAAACAGCCATGCCCGAAAGGACCTGGGTTAGGCGAAAGAAGATCAACCCGTGTAGCCGATCTGAGCATGCTTCTAGTAAGGAACCTTTTGCACCTACTCTACTTACGGTCCCAAAATAAATAGTCACAATTCATGAAACAGTTATTGTGATGTTCCGTAATTGTGTTGTACTTCTTAATTATGTTAGTGGTAGGTTCCAGTCATGTCTCAAGTGACATTTACTATTACGTGAACACGCGTAGACTGCTAGACGACCATGCCCACAGGGCGACCCAACGGAGTAACGCCGGGAAAGTTTGCAACAGCTGATTGGAAGCGCCGGAAGGTGCTCAACAGCCACTAAATATAAAGATATTCCTGAGGCCAGTAGGCCTCCCTTTCACTTTTCCTGCAAAAGAAATATTCGAGCAACTTAGCAACGGCTTAGCTACATTGTCGTTGTAGGTCGCGTTAGCATTCAGCTTAGCTCCCTAACTCTCATTACGAAGTTCCTAAGTCGCAACTGTCTGAGCTACAATTTTGCATAACTTTGCCGTGAGCCTCGGTTTTAATACAACACCTGAATTTTTGGGGTAAGGACACTTTGTTCGCTCTAACGTGAGTTGGAGAAATTTTGAATTAAATTAAGGTTTTGCTAATTTACTAAAAGAGTCTACTGTCTACTGTGGGTGTTGGGG